ATAATAACTTTTTTAAAAGTTTTCAATTAGTACTATTGACCTAATATTGTTTAAGCAGTAACTCTAGTCAATGTCTTTTGGGATTGAATATATTTGTGCAATTTTTCACTTCTTTGATATATATATATTTTTTTAGAATCAAATCTGCAAAGGCTCTAAAAGTCTTTTGTAATCTCTTCTCTGCATGTTTTATTAATGTATAGCTTATGCCTAATATTTTTGAAGTTGTATTTACTTTAAGCTCTCTAAGTATTTCTTCCTATTTTTTTTCTTTTATTTTTCTTCTAATTTATTATACTAGGCCTTATTGATCCAATCTTTTGGGTTATATACTCTTTTCCATTCTTTTGTTATTTTTTTAAGTTTGGTTTTTCATTTCTTAAATTGGTTTTTAAAATGAGCTGCCAAACTATTTAGAACTGCATTTGGTTCTGATATTAGGTTAACTTCTTTTTTGTCTTGTATTACAAACCTGTCTAGAACAATCTTTTTGTATAGTTTATTTATCAATCTGGCAATTATTTGACCTTGATCTATTTTAATCATTTTATATCTTCAGTTTATGTTTTCTTCTATCTGTTTTCTTTGTGTTCATTCTTATTTATCTTTTTTTTTCTCTTTAATTATTCTTTGCCAACTTTTAATATTATTTATTCAAGCTTCTGATTACTGTTTATGTAGTTTTTATAATATTGCTTTTAATTCTTTTTCTATAATTTGAAGTTTGTTGTTTGGTTCAACTCTTTATTTTTTTCTATTTTTTAATTCTTCTTACTTTTTGCTTTCTTGATGATTTGTTAGAGTTTGATAATGTGTTTGTGTTTCTTTGTCTTTTTCTGATCTTGTCTTTTATTTAACTTAGTGTTGAATATTTTTTTTTGAAATTTGTTTGTTTACTGCTTCAATTATAACTTCTTCTATTACATCTCATATTTAGTCTAATATCTCTGTACTATATTCTGTTTTTATGAAATTATCTTCTAGTTATTTTATACTTTTTTCCATACTAGCTAATTTTGCAGCTCTTTTGCATAATCTTTTCAGTCTTCTTGTTTTGCTTCTTTATATAAGTATATTGTTTTTGTTTGGTTTTTATGTTTAATTTCTGCCTTGCTGCTATTTGCAATTATGTGTTTTACCCATATTTCTGTTATTATTATCTTATAATTGCTGTTTGTCAAACCTTCTGCTTCCTTAATTTTAGCTATTTGCAGACCTAGTGCAAGTGTTTCTGATAGCTAAATATATATATTCTTGTTGTAGCCTTCTGACTTAATCATGTGTATGCTTCTTTTGTCAAATGCAGATTTCTGTATAAGTCTATAAAGTTTTGCCTTCTAAGCTAGCTAAATATTAATAATTATTCATAATTTTATGTTTGCAGATGTTGTCTGTCTAGTACATTATCTACTGTGTAATTAAAATTATCAAATATAATTACTTCTATATATCTTTTCCTGTTTGTTACTATCTCTACAATTCTTTGCTAAATTTTTTTCTTATTGATTTTTTATTTGGTGAGATATATACTTCTAGTATTACTAATTCTAATTGTTTAAAATATAATTTTACCTCTTGCATATATTTACTAACTCTTTTAATTGTTCTTATATATTTTTTCTACTTTTTATCTATTATTATTCCTATATCTAAACTTTTTTTTTTGTTTATTACCACACTAGTTTTATAACTCTTATACTATATATTATAATTATACAATAAAAATTTTTTCTTTTTTTTTGTAATATTTATTTCTGTTATTTCTACTATTGTGAGTTCTTTTTTTCAGCTTATTTTAGAAGGTTTTCTACTTTCAATTCTTTGGTTTTAAGTTCATTAATATTATAACATACTATTTTTAATTTCTTCTTTCTCTGTTTCATTTTTCTTTCAGATATTTATATCTTGTTTCTATGTTTTTTATCTTTTTTTTTTTCTTTGGTCTCTTATTATAACCAAAAGATGCATCTATATTTCTTTCTTCAAAAATTCTTCTTTCACTATACAAGAACACTTTGATCTCCTGGTCTATGCTTATTAATTTAACTGTAGTGCCATTAGAAGAGATTAGCAAAGCCTTCTTTTGTTTTTCATTTTACCTTGTTTTATTATACTTTAAGTTTTTCTTGTTTCTTCTTGTCAAAGTAGCAAATAATTGTTAAATCTTATTGGTTTGGTTTGTGTTGTCTTTATCTTCTTCTCTGATACCAAGATAATTATTCAGATCTTCTTTAATTACTATTTCTGTTTGTTGATATGTATACTAACTTAGCATTTCTCTTTCTTAAGCATCACAGTAGCAATACTTTTGATGCATTTTTAGAAAGCTCTAGTAATTTTGATATGAACTGGCTGTGTTGCTCATAAACTGTAATCTTCATTGCCTTTAAACACTCTTGCTAGTTTATATATACCAACTGGCAAGGCCTATGGAATATTTTTTTCTTTTAAGCTCTTAGTATATATTATTGCCAAGAATTTTTATTTGAACCTCTTAATTCAGTCTATTTTGGCATCTTTAATGTTTCTGCACATGTGTTTTATTTTTTTTGTATTGATATTTACTGGCAGGTTTCAAATTGTTAGATAGTTATCTACCTTTAAATTTTCTTTTGTCTGAAAGCTTTTTGTATTTTTAACTTCTACTCTTGCTTGATTTGTATTCTTGTATTTTCCTTTTTTTTTCTATTTTTAACATTTAACTCTTTCATTTTATTGTTCTTTTTAATTTCTATTTGTTTTGTATTTCTTTCTTTTTTTCTCTTAGTATTATACTCCTTTTGCTGTTCTATATTTTGAGTTTTGTTTTTGGTTTCTTCTGGTATAAGTTTTAGCTATTCTTCTTCCTTTTGCTTAATTCTGTTCATTGCTGCATCTCTAGTATGCTTACAGTTAAAATTTACTTCTATCTAATTGTTTCCATTTTTGAATACTTCTTTGACTATTTTAATGTAATGATTTTTTTTTATGATTCACTAAACATACTTTACTCTTTCTTTTTTGATTCTTCCTAGTAAGAGATATGTTAGCATATTTGCTTTGAAAAACTTATTTTTATTACATATTCAATTTTCTGAAACCAATAGCTGTATTTAATTAAACCTGTAGAAAAGATTGTTTCATCCTCTTTATTGTTTATTTCTTCTTTTTGTTCTGTTATTTTTATATTCATAATTTCTAATTTTATTTTTCTGCTTTCTGTTGATATTTTTTCTTTATATTTAAAATTATTAATAGTTTGACTTGTTTAATATTATGATGTAGCAATGCCAAGCTCTTTTATTTGTTCTTCTAATATTTCTAATCACTGTTTTAACTCTTCAGAATTGTTTTTTTTTTTGATTCTGTTTTCTATTAATGAACTTTTCTGTTTTGTTAGTTTTAACTAAAATTCTTATCTTTTATCTTTTTTTTTTTGGTATACTTTTTCTTCTTTTATATTTGTATTATATTCAAATAAGCTTGGATTGTAGCTTATTGATCTAAGCTTTTCTGCTCACTTGTTAATTATTTCTTCTTTAGACCAGCTTATTTCTGCTATTCTTAAGGCTTCTAATACTTGCTATATATTAGCAAGTTCTGTGGTATAATGCATTTTGGGTTATAGATTGCTAAGTCTTTTGTAATATGCTTTATATTGCTTGGGCCTTTTGTTGGTGTTTTGAGAACTTGGTCTAATATTTTGCAATTTACATATCTACAAATTCTATCTCTTATTTTTTTAATATACTCTATGATATCTTTATTATATGCTTCTGCTATTCATTTGTTTAGTTTAGTTATTTCTATATTATGTGCTTATTCTAGTAGACTACTTTACTATATATGTTTATTTGTTTACTTTATTTATTTGCTATACTTTTTATATAAATTAAATTGATCTTTATAACAGGGTTACAGAAATTTCCAAAATTTCTATAAAAATTTTTGTTCTATTAAAATTTTTAATCTTTTTAAGCTATACTACCTCTAAGCTTTTTCTATTTGTATTTTTGTTTTCTAGCTATATCAGCAAAAAAAATAGCTTGATATATATTAATTATTAACTATAATAGATATATATCGATAATAATCTCCCCTGTTGGGTTATATTAATTATGATAATTATTAATATATATCCATTACAATAGAAAATTAATAAAAAATGATTTAGTAAAATATTAATATATATTAAATATATTCAGTACTATTAACTTGATACTAATAACCATGGTTATACTAGCATTTTAACAAAATTTTAAAGTAAATAATTACAATTTATATATTTTACATTTATTAATTAATTAAAGCAATAGATAATATAAGCAATAAGTGATACAAATATATAAAGTATTTAAAAAAAATAATACAGAAAAAAAAATATATATAAAAAAAATACAAAAAAAAAGATATATAAAAAAAAATTAAATTATAAATTACAATTAACAGTCACGAGACATTGCCCCGTTGATGATTTTCATAGTAAAACGATTTTTGTAACATATAGTAGTAAAACTTTTAGTAAAATTATTTTGTTAAACCTATAGCAACAATCTTTCAACCTTAAATAAATTTGAATTTACAAGCTTCGGGCTTCTGTTCTATGCTAAAAAATATACTTACTGCATAACTCTATGTTGAGTAAGATCGAACTGAAAATGGCCATTTTTGAACAAAGATCTCAAGATCTTCTTTCAGAATCTTTGAATTCAAACCGGGTTTGCTCTTTTTGAAGTAAAAAACAAAGGCATCATCCAAATATCTTATTAACATAAGAGCACTTTACTTATTATTTTTTAATATTTTCTTAGGAGTAATCGTTAATCGAATTGAAATAGCAATTTTAATTCAAAAGTTTGAGTACTTTCATTCTTTTCTTTTATTAAAAAACAATATTTTTCATTTAATTTTTATGGCAAACAGATTCTTTATTTATTTATTTATACAGTAATAACAAATAATAGGCTGCAAGGTATATACTTGTTGAAATTTAAAATTACATCCTTGGAATCTTCTTTTACCAGTTATTCTTCCAAAATATTTTGACTCTCTTGTTCGTCCAGTCAGAAGAGACAGCATTAAGTTGCAACAACACATTTGAAATTGTTGCTTCAGACAGCTCTTCGGATTCAAATAATTGGTCGAGTATTGCTTTCTTTGCTTCTGTTGTCTTGCATTATGTATTTTTCGTATGATCGGTTTCAAAAGGTAATGGCATCTGTTGCGATGTTGATGAAATACTTTCTTGAATAATTGATGCTTGTGGGAGGCTGTCTACTCGATTATTTGTTTTTTTCTCTTTATCCTTTTTATCCTTAAGTTGTGTATAGGTATAAGAATTTATATTACACATATAACATTTATTAGTTGACCATGGCTCAATTATGTATACATCCTGATCAAATATTTTTTGTAAGCATGATTTGCCAATCTCATAAAAGGAAAGAATATTCTCAAAACCTTCTTCATTAAGTTCTGGAACACCTTTAAATAAAGGATGTGTTTTGGGATCAGGATGATTAAAGGCATCCCATAATTTTGAAGCCAGGGACCAAAGTAAATCTTTGCATGATTCGATTGCACGAACACTTTGACTTGCCACAACATCGTCAGTATATTCAGCAAGAAGCATTGATAAACGATTTTTTTCACTTTGAGCTGCCTTAATCTTCAGCATTATAGTCAACTGGTCAGTAAGATTTCCACTAATATTTTGCTTTATGAAATTTACACCATATGTTTCAAGTGCTTTATCAAAAGCAAAATAATGACCTTCATTTGTGAGATTTACAAAACATATTGTTTGTAGTAATTTCCATAGTTGTGGGTCATCATGAACTTGAGCCAGAAAATGTAGTACAGAATTTGCATATCTATTTTTTTCAGCTGCATGAAAAAGAGGTGCAAAAGCAGCTAAATTTGCTATTTGCATCTCATAATTTCCTTTTCTAATTCCAATTTTATGACCCACAAAATATCTTGTCCAACAGAAAAAAAGATACCAAACCTTTACCAGCTGATTATTGCTACTTAAAATATCATTCATGGTTTTTCTTTCTTTTTTTACATACTGGCATAGTGCAATCCTGACTGCAATCCAAATTAATTCCAAGACACAACATGTTACCCAATAATCTACGACATGCTCAAATTTATCTAGAAACCATGTTTCAAGAGTTGCTGCTAGATTAAATATTCCGTATCCGAAAAATATCTTAATTATAGCACTGCATATAGCTTTTGATGTATGCTACTGTCCCAAAAGAAGCCGAACATTCTCATGGGTTTCTTTATAGGAAATTAATCTTTCGAAAATCGCTTGGTCACAAGCAATATACAGGTTGTCATTGTTGCCAATTAATAAATCATTATTATACATTTCACATGCTTCATAGACATTGTCATTGCAATTGGGTGGATTACAAGGCTCCAATATTACAACCTTTGGTGGTAAAGTATTGCAACCTGTAGATATTTTTTCAGTAATTTTTGAGTGTACATTTTCAACATCAAACCCACCACTTTTATAATTTTCTAACATTGTGTTTAAAATATTTTCATACATTATTAATAAATTGTTAGTAGTCGAAAATTCTCCAAACAGTGGTTGAACAACAGATTCATTGTCAATAAAATTTTCAAGAGAAGTGAGCAAAGTGAACTGAAATACGATTCGAAGTGTCACATGCGAAGTTCATCTTACAACATCAAAAATGTTGCCTTGTGAGAATGTAGAAGCCTTAAAGTCGATATTGTCAATCACAGAAAGATTCCAAATGTTTGATTCTTTAATTAGATTTTTTCAAGGGTTAGCATGATGCATTCTAAAATTTTCAAGATGGTTTTCATGCCGCTTAGTGTAAGATATAACACGTGCTGAATATAGAATATCACGTAAATATGATAGCAACTTTGGATTCTGGCACATTGACGATATGATGCACGAAAGCCAAATTTTTGTTCGAGGAAAAGCAATAGTTAGTAGCATAGAAGTTAAAAAAACAGTAGTTCTTGTAATTTGAACTTTGTCAAGGGATTTCAGTAGAAGTCCACATTGATTTCTTTTCTTATTAATCATTTTTTGTTTCTGTTGTTGAAGCACAGTGATGAGAGCTTGAAAAAAGCTACAAATTGTTTTAGGCAATGCATTGAAGTAGTCTTCATAAGAACTCAGGTTCTCTAACTGGCTGATATTTTCCTGAATTTTAGAATACGAAGACAAAACATTTTTCCCTAAATTTTCTCCTACTATTGAAGCCTCTTTAAGATTTTTTATTTGAAACTTTTCTTTCATTAATAGATTTAATCTAACTTTTCTCATTTTCAATGCCGTTAGAACAAGTAACTTGCTTGGCAATTTTTCTGGCTCTTTTTCTGTTGAGGTTAAGTTTTTACTCGTTAGTTCATTATTGAAAATAGTTAATGCTAGAGTTACTAATGAAAGAAGTCTCTCTTGCAAAATTTGATCATCTGACTCTGCTACTGACATTATCTATTTTCCAATATATTTTAGAGCATTGCTTGTGTCATCATGGTGTTTTCCTGCTTCCTTACATGATAAAATTTTTCCACCGATGCCTGGTTTTTCATACAAATGATCACCTTCCTGCTGAATACATTGTAAGCATATGTAACGTGCACGATAGCCAGAAGATGACTTTTGCACAATAAGCCCCTCAGTAAATACTGGACATTTATGAACACTAATGCAAGGTATTTGAATATTGCACCCATTGATTTTCCATGTATGTTTCTTACAACTGTCACTGCAGCTATAGAAACATTTTTTTTTATGACAGAAAATGCAAAAGCAGAAGCAAATATTTTGATCGATTGAGCACAATTGTTTTGCACCTTCAGTATGAAGTTGGTTTTGATCAAAGGTAAAATAAGAAAAACATACTCCAAGTTGGTGATAGCTATCTTTAATTTCTTTGATAGCATCTCCATCTATCTCCCATGTTCCTATCATTTGTTTCAATGCTCGCAAATTTGTTTTACCATCACAATGCCTTATATCGCCTTCAAAAATGTCTAAAACAGCACATGGCGTTAAAAGCGAACTTCGAATAGAGGTATTTGCTATTCTTATATATATATCTTCATTGTCATCATTATTCTCATTATTATTTTTGTTATTATATTCATCATTATTTTCGTTGATATATTCATCATTTTTATAATTATCATCATTGCTATGATCTTCATTTGCTTTTTTCAATAAAGACGAGCACTTGCAAGAGCATTCGCAAAAGAATCTTTATCAAGAATAAAAGAGTCTTCCTAATTTTCATCAGAAGAACTGCATTCCTCGAAATTCATATAAGTAAATTTAGAATCACTCATTTTAGTGATAGTTCGAGAATAGATATAATTTATATGATATTTAAGAGTTATATAACGTTTGAGTTTTATAGAACTTTATTGAAAGTAAAATTCAAGATCTTTTATACCTTTTCTGTGACATACAATCTCAAGGCAAATTCCTCATCTCCTATAATGCCTATCTTCGACTGTGCCATTTTCCAATTCACTAAATTTATTTACACTTGCACCATACTAATCATCCAACATTAATCCACATTGCCACATCTAATTTGGCAAGTAAATTAAAGACTATGTGATAATAAAAGCCAAATATGGTAAAAAAAATTTGTCAAAATTAATACAAAATGAGAAATAATAAATAAACAGCAATATAAGCACTAAATAAGAAAAAGATATGAAATTTATGGGTAAAGTTTTAACTGCTCAAAGATGTCATGATGTGTAAGTAATTGCATTTTATGGTTGTTTTTATTCTATTAAAACGAATGTATTAACAATTAACTTTAAATATATTCTGAGGAATCAATTGATACACAATTCTACAGTCACTAAATGTGAAATTAGTTCTCGTCTATACGTAGTTATCAGGCGAAACCCAAAAAAGGAAATTACAAAGTGCATTGTTATAATTTCCTTTTTAGGTTCTGCCTAACATCTATATTCTTGTCCAAAGTTGAAAGTCAAATTTCACGCAAAGAATTGATTCTAGAATTGCAATTTGGATAACATTAAGAAATACAATTAGAAAAGAACTTAATTCGGGCTATATAATATAATTCAAGAAAAATTGGTTTGTTAAATGAATATAAATATATTATTCAGAAAGATGAGTGTATGTCTAATGTTAATAAGATATAATTTCATTCGCCAAAATAACTAAATTTAAATTTGCATCAAATAATACTAGTTGAAGATGCGAAGTATTTATTCTAAAATTTTATTCAAAATCATATCTAACGTATTCTAAAAATTTTCTGCCACTTCAAATTGTATTGCCTGCGGAGCTATTCAGAGATCAGGTATATGATACATGATACAATGGATTTCCATTTTTTTATCTATGATTTATATGAATTTTGTGATTTCACATTGCAACTTGGATATCAAAATGGACTACGAAGGAATTCAACTTTTATTTGGTATGTTTATTATACTCTATAATAAAAGTGTTGTATTATAAAAGAATAATACTAATTTGTATTTCCAATTTGAATTTATTAATTGGGGCGATTATAAAGAAACTGTATTTTACTTCACGTATTATAACTACATGATTCGTTTTTTTTTAATAATTTATTTTAATCTTCGAATGGTCCATTTTCGCCTATTTTTTGATAAGTTTTCTGATGCAATCTAATTATTTTTACAGCTGATATTGAAATTTGAACCTATTCAATATTTAAAATTTTTTTGGAGATGTTTTTTTAGCTTTGGATTTAGGGTTAGAGTATACTTGTTACCCAAAACTATTTTTCTTTTTCCGAAAGGTTTTGGTTTTTCAAGATTTCAGTTTTGGAATATAACTTGGAGTTTCGGTTTTCTGAAACCGAAACTATATTTTGGGTTTCGGATTAGTACTTTCTGAAACTAGTTTCAGGAAGGTTTCATTTCAGGTAACAAGTATAGATCAGAATATAAGCAAATTTTATTTAAGTTTATATTTTCAATTTGAGACCTCAAATTTCAGTATCAGCTGCATCATTTACTATTTTATTTATTTAATCTCAATTTAATATATTAGAGGTTCCTTATTTCCATCTGTCATTTGGTAAGTTATAAAATCCTTGAGATGCATATGCCAATTTCCATTGATCACCTGTTTGTAATTCTCGGATTTAATCCATATGTTTTTTTTTTTTTTTGAAAGTTATTAGTTACTAGATGAGTTTTAATTACTAGGCTATCAACTATTGCGAAGTTTAATCCAAAGTCAAATTGAAATAGTGAACAAGCTATCTATTTAACTCACTGCTTTACATATTAATGCACTAAATAATTTTTTATTAAATTTTTTTTTTAATTTTTTAATTTTTTTTTTATACTTTAATTTTATTTTATATCTTTTTCCAAACAGGTCAATAAAAATGGTCATTTAGATCAAAAACGTTACACGTCTCATAAATTGAATAGCTTTGTATAATCTTAAAACTGTTAGTAGGGAAACTGTTATGCTTAGTATTAATAGATTAATTAATGATATACACTTGTTAAGGCTGCATGTATTTATTTTTAAGATGATGATGCATTATTGCAGCAAAAAATAAAAATAAAATATAAAGCCAAAATGTTCCAAGATTTATTTATTATAATGTTAATAAAGTTTGAGGATTTCAAAATTTTATATCAAAAATTGAAATTTCTGAATGCTGAACAACAGAAAGGAATGCACCTGATCCAAATTGAATCCCACACACAGTGTGATCAATTAAAACTAAAATTATTTATTTTAGTTTTAATGATTACACTATGTGTGGAATTCCCTTTGGATCAGGTACATTCCCTCCTGTTGTGCTGAACCAAAACTAGAATCAATTGAGTGTGAACATCTTAGAAGTGTCATAGAGTAAGGTCTAAATACATTTTATTCCAATGAATTCATACTTAGTAAATCGGATTAGAGATTATAACCACCAATATAAATATAAAGTATTATAAACATATCTAGAAAAATCTATTTATGTGCATAAATATCAGATTGTAATTTTGAATAAATGGAATGATTAATCTTCAAAAGTCTTAGATTCAGTTCATACCCAAGAAACACGTAAAAAAACTTATTTAACCTAGAATACGTAAAAAACAAAAAGGTTATTTTAAGAAAAGATGTTAAGGTATGAGGTCTTTGCCTTGAAAATAACCTTACAGGAAATAGTAATTACTATGACCCATAAGGTCATTTTCAAGGCAAAAACACCATATTTGAGTAATCTATAAAGGCAAAATTACTGATCATGAATGAACAAACGAAATAAGACCAGTACTCAATTGCAATCTACAGAAGTGAAATTAGTTTATTAGTAAGAGTTTCAGTGAACGTGAGCAAACAAACAGAATAAAAACTACATACGTACCCAATTCCAATCTATAAAAGCAAAATCAGTTTATTAGTAAGTTTTATTTTACTGTTCGCAAGCAAACAAACGAAATAAGAACATGAAATACATAAATACATATCTTATTACAGGGGGGTTAGAGTACTTTAACTTCGAATGAAGATCTCTTTCGAATTATGAGGTATTTAGAGTTCATATTTTTTGTATAATAAATAAGAGTTCTAGGAACATTTTTGACTTAGACAATATTAGTAAATAGGTTGTACAAATATGGAGTTACTCATGAGTAATGTTAAAAATTATGAGATTTTAATATAAAAATTGAGTGATCGATGTATTTACTTTATTAGTGTAAATCATTTTAAACCCCTATAAGGAGAAATGTCTTATGACTGTTAAGTGATGCTATACAATTTATTTAAATCTTTTTTGGAAAGACTAATTAACAAAGTATTTTGGCAAAAAGATTCAGGATCAGGTTCATATTAAAAAGAACCTTTATCATATCATTCATCATTATAAGCTTCTTCCTCACTTTTACTTTGAATGGCTTTAGCATTTTTATATAATAAGTTGCCACTTTCAATATCAATCTAATATAATATGTTAGTATTAGCATTATATAATATTAAAAAATAAAATAAATTTCAATAACTTACCAAAAATTGTTCAATGCGATGTTTCATATGCTTCTTTATATAAAAATGCTTCATGACTAGAGTTTAATAGAATGTCATATACTGAAAGCATAAACACACTATGTTCATTTTTAAAATAGGAACTGCCACAGTAGAAAATACACTTCATATAATTACTAATATCCAATAAATGCCATTGTTGTTTCATTAGAAAAGTGCATAATAATAATCACTTATTTGAAGGTTTCTTTCCACTGAACAATATCAGCTACAGCTGCATTCTTCTTCAAGAAAGGCAATCTTTCATGCCCAAATATGCACCAAACTGCAAAACTAATATTTTGAAGATTTGCACCATAATTATTCTTGATTTTTTAAAGAAGCTATAAAATAATAATAAACTAATTATTTATTATTATAAATATTATATGTCTTAATTAAAAGAATACATTACCTAATAATATAGATTATAGTTAATAAATGTATTAAAAAAATACAAATAATTACTAATGACTATAAGCAATGTATAATTAATAAAAAAATATTCGAGTCAACTATTTATCATATAAATAGTTAATGAATTCATTTAGGATTATGTTAGATATGAAATCTGAAAACATTTCATCTATATAGGCCTTAAAGGTTTTCTTGATTACAGCCTAGGTAGGGTAAACATAACTTGAGAAGAGGCATTTTGCAATACCAATATATGCCTTCTATAAAAAATAAAAATTTAGAAAGGTTTTATTAGAAATTTAAAAGTATTAAGTACTTACATTCAGAACTTTCTATGAAAGCTCATTTTCTATATCAATATGCTGCTTTTTTAATTTGCTTTTAATTTTCTGTATATCTTCACTCAGCCTTTTCATTAATAGGTAAAGCTGCTGATTTTGAGTAAAGAGCCTCTCATTCACTTGCCAATAGTAATTGCTCACACATTCTTCAATCCAGTTTATATAAAAAAAAAAATTAAAAAAAAAAAAAGAGTAAGATTATAAGATTGGCATCTAGAGAGATCAAAAAAAAAAAAAGATCTTATATACTATTATGATGATCTCATGATCAAGATCTTCCTTATGTTTTTTGCAACAATAATGATCAACTACAATTAATAAAATGTAATCTATGACAAGAAGAACAAGAACAAAAACAAGAATAAGAAGGCGATGGTTGTTATGATTGGGCAGCTTGTCATAATTGGATGGCTTGTCATGATTGGGTGTTTGTCATGATTGGGCAGTTTGTTGTGATGTGGTTCATTTACCTTTCATTTGTTCAAAGATTTTCTATACACTTCTAATACTTTTAAATGAATCTAAAGAATCACTGTTATATTGTTGAGATTGTTTATATAATCCAATTACTGATTTAGAATGAATTATATTAGTAGGAATAGCAGAAGAAGATGATGATTGTAAACAGGTTGTATTGGTAGGAATAGCAGAAAAAGATGATTGTAAACAGGTTGTATTAGTAGGAATAGCAGAAGAAGATGCATTA